ATATATATATACTCAAAACTGTTACTTGTTGGGGGAAAAACACACTTGGGTCTTTCTCGTTAAGATACATTACTTATAGGCCAGGTATGGTGGTGCCTGTAATCCCAGCACTCGGGAGGCTGAGGCAGGAGGATCACTGTGAGTTCAAGATCAGCCTGGGCTACACAGTGAGTTCCAGGTCAGTCTCAACTACTTAGTGAGACCCTGTCTCAAAAAAAAGATGCATTACTTATTATAGTATTATCTTGGCTCTTAGAGGTTAAAAAAAATAGAGTGGAAGAGATGAAGGGGAAATGGTAAAAACAGAAGAAAATGAAAGAGGGAAGTAGAAACAGAGTCAGAAAAGATAAGAGGAAGGGCGGGGGATTTAGCTCAGTGGCACCACACCTGCCTGGCAAGCACAAGGCCCTGAGTTCAATCCCCAGTACCAAAAAATAAGTAAGAGGAAGAAAAATATTAAAATCCAAAAGACACTGGAGACCAAAAAAAGTCAAGAAAGACATTAAGACAGATAATTGCTCAAGTGCCAGTAACATGTACAGAAGTTCAAGCTCCCTAAGGACAGCAAAAAGGACCCAAACTGTCTGCTTACCATTTGGGGTGAAAGCAGTACAGGTTCAAGAAGTGTTAGTGCTAAGGCCAAAGGAAGTACACATGTCGGGCCACGTGTACACACGGGACGCAACTACACATAGGTGTGGCCCTCGCTCTGCCTGTGTGAATGAAGTCAAGCCCCTCAGACTCCAACCTTCAGTTCCCTCTTCAGCATCAGATGATCTTTAACACTGTGATTCAGAAAGCGCCTGTTAGTAACCAACTCAGCTGGCAGGGCAGCTTCCCACATCTGAGCTTGCTGAAGGTGCCCCCAAATCCACATAAGGCTGCTGTCAGCCCCCGACACATCTCTGCTCAGCTCAGCACTCCCAGTGTGCCAGACAACCTAGGAATCTAGATGTATTTCCTGTTGACTTTCAGCACAATCATATACTTATCATAACCCAATAATTTAAGAACTCTTTTCATTCACTCTACTGGCCGACCAAAGACAAACATTACCATGCTCCACTACTTAGTTATACTAACTAATAAATCACGTGCTGCCCTGTTAGTCCCCAGTGGCCTGCATCAACTCGAAGAGCTCATTCAGTTTCAGGAAGTAGCTGACTTCCTCCTTTCAAGCAAACTGTACCAAAAATAACAAAAAATAAACTTTCAAGCTGCATGTGATTTTCTAGGCCTTCAGCTCAAAAATGTATTATTAGTTAAAAGTTCTTTCCTTGTCATCATTAAAAGGGGCATTTATTGGTGTTAACAACAATTCAGGTTTTATTTCATTTACAGTCTCATAAAACTACTTCAAGTTTGATTTTTCATTACATCAAGGCAATTCTTCTAAGTAATTCCACAAGAGACACACCCTGCTTTGTTCCTGGTTCTGTGGGAAATGAAAACTAAGTAAAACTGATACTTTATAGACACATATTTCCAGGAATATCACCTGAAGAAAATTACAGAACCAACTCAAAAGGAAACATACTATTTCTTGAAATCTGTGTGACGAAAACATCTTAACCTCACCATGTGAGTCATTTAAATATTTAACATCCTGGACACTACTTTCTGGGTGATGGAAAACTGAATCAAATGTAAAATTATTAACTGTACCATTTAATGCTATTTATTCAATAGCCACAGTTACATCTTATACAGTAATTAATAATCTTTTTAAACACACTGGACTTAAAAACTGCAAATTGTCATTATAGCAAGTGGATTACAGGAAACGTGAAAATTACTTTAAATCTGTAAGACCTAAAAATTGTTGGAAGGATTACAAGTTAAACCAAGGTATATACTCAAGACAAACTATATTTTTAATTTACTTTTTAAATACACATTTTAATTTTATTTATCTATTTATCTATTTATTTTGGTACTGGGAATCACAATCAGGACCTGGCACTTGCCAGGCAGACACTGTGCCACTAAGTGACATCCCTGGCCCTATAATTACATTTTTATTAAAATCTATAAGTCAGGAACCAGTTCAAATATAGTTTTTTTAATTATTAAATTGTTCTGAAAGGAAGCAAAATCTAACAGGATGTGTCTTCCACGATCAAGTGCAAACCTGGGTGACACACCGCATGACACGCCCAGAGCTCAGTCAGCACAAGTCCATGTGCTAAACCTCAGGGGTACTTCAGCAGCCCAAGCCACCTTGCGACCCTTCCTTCCCCACACACACGCCTGGCCACAGAGGAATAATCCATAAGACTCACTGTGACTCTACGTCTAAGGAGAAGAAATGCTGAGGCAGCTAAGGCCATCAAAGCACAAAGAAGTCCAGACAGTACCATGACAAGGGAGGCCGCCTGCTGCTCTGAGGAATCAAAGAAAGACCGTTCTTTTCTCCACTGCCTCGGAAAGGACCAAGACATGTACATCAGCCTGCAGAGAAGGTGAGCGCGCCAAAGCAGGCTGGGCTCCAGTGCAAGAAGGAGTCAGAGTCACGGTGCACATAAAGGCCCACGTGGGTCCCATTCGCCAGGCCAGCTGGGGCAGAAATTTGAGTTCCTCAGGCAGAGTGGTCAGGAAGCCCATGCTGACCAGTTCCCTTCACAGCAGTAGCTCAGTAATGACTTAAAGCCCATAACAAGTCCCCCCATCAAGTAAGTGCTGCCACATTGAGGAATAAATTAACTTTCCTTGCTAATCACTAATTCTGAAGTCAGGACAAGGTCACTTTCAAGTCCACCATGAATATTTTAGAGACAGAAAAAAAACATCAAGGGTATGAGACCTGCTCCACTTAAAATTTCAAACACCACAAATAAATTTGAAATACTGAGGGCAATTACAAAACATCTTTTAAGCAGATACTGGAAATTTTATTTGCATATTGTAGTTCTTCCAAGTATCAGCCACAATTTAAAATTTCCAGGATTTTAAAATTTCTGTATCTATCATTCACTGCCCCCACACCTGGCAGTCCTGGGGTAGAACCTTTGCATTGAGCTACATCCCCAGCCCTTTTTCATATTCTGACACAGGGTCTTGCTAAGTTGTTCAGGATGGATTCAAACTTGAAATCTTCCTGCCTTGGCCTCCCAAAGTGCTGGGATTACAAATGTCTGCCACCATACCTGGCTTTCGTGCCCTTCTATATGTCTCTGTAATAAGCTAGACAACTTCCCTGGACAAAAATTCCACAGCAGGTTTTCTTTCTCCCCCCCCCCCGTTTAACATACGTAACAATTAATATAACATCATCATGATACAACATTAAGAAATCGTTCCCACTGCTACAGTAAAACTGCTTTCTCCATGATTATCAATGATCATCTAATAGTTAAATCTAAAGACACCTTCTTAACATTATCTCATTTTTCTGTAGCATCTAATGCCAGCAACCGCCTTTCTGCTCCCTGGAGCCTTTTGTTTCTTTGGTACTTGTAACTCAACACTATCCTGGTTCTCTGCCTGTCTCACAGGCTGCTCAATTCAGCTTCCTTTACCAAATGTACTTCCTCCTCCTGCTACAGAAATAGTCGCAAGGTTCTGTCCTTGGCTCCCACAGCTCCCACTCTAGTCTCTTCCTTCCTAATCTAACCTACATGTGGTCTTTTCCCATCTTTTCCATCCAGAGTTCCCCTCTGGCTTCTCCATTAATCAAAGCCCTTCCCATCCTGCAATGCCTAGTGCAAGTTCAATTTCTCCAGAAACAGGACCATTAACACAACGACCACTTTTAAGGACCAGGCATTCTTGTTATCAATCCTCATAAGAACACCAGGAGGAAGACAATGACGTTAGCGCAATTTTGCAGTTGAGGAAATTGTAGTGTAAGTAAATTACCCAAGGTCACATGGCAGTGAACAGTGATGGAGCCAGAATCCAAATCCAGGAAATCTGACTCTAGAGCCTTTCTCCTAATCAAAATGCAATAAATCATAGCCCACTAGTCAAACCTAACCTATCACCTGCTTTTATTATACCCACGATCTAAGATTAGTTTTTAAATTTTTAAACAGTTGGTGAAAAAACTCAAAATCATACTTCATGACCCATGAAAATTATATGAAATACAAATTTCAACACCCATAAATGAAAACTCTACTGAGACACTGCTACATGCTGTCTCAATTGTTTCCATACAACAGCAGAGCTGAGTGTTTCTGTCAGATAATATGGCCCCGAAAGCCCAAAAGTCCCAAATATTTACAGTCTAGCCAGTGAATTAAAAAGTTTAAGAAATTTCTTTTAATCACTCCATTATACAGCCTCTTTAAAAGACTTCCCTGATCCTTTACTTCCCAAGCTGAAAAAAAGTTTTTCCTTCTCTGTGTTCACATCCCGTTTGTGTCTCTCTTAGAACAGGGAGCCCGTTTTGCTTCACATTACACCTAACTTACATTTCTACACAGTAGACTGTAATTTCCTTGAAGGCAGGAAGTAATTTTCACTTCGTATCCCCCTCGGTGCCTTGTTATTATTGGCAACCAAGAAATGTTGGATGATTTTAAATAAAATATTGCAGTAAATCTTTAAATAGATTTCCCCTAATACAAACATGAATCACATAGGTCACAGACAGGATGGTAAAAATAAGCATCCACAGCCACTTCTGTATGTGAACTGGGACAGCCTTTCCAAGAGCGCATGTTATATGCCAAGCACTGAACTAAGTCCTTCTAGATTAGGGAACTTCACAGCTCTTAGTATAAACACTATTATTAGCTTTATTTCATGGATGAGGAAATTAAGACTGGAGAGTTTAAATAGTTTGTCCAAGGTTCAAGGATGACAGATGATTTTTTTTTAAGTGGTAGAACTACAGCTGATTTTAATTTTGTACGTTATAAATCTTTTTCAGATTTTCTACTGTAATGAGCATAAATTACATGCATAACATTTTAGGGCAATAAGATAGCATGGAAAACTTACTTCTATTCCCCTCTCCACCTTGGAAGCTTTAAAAAAAAAACCCAAAACAAAACAAATAGTTCTCATTTTTCATTTATTTTTAAAAGCCCAGTAAAAAGTCATCACTGTAAGCTTTAAAACAAAAATAGTATTTACTCCTTAAAACAACCTTGAGAATATTCTGGACCTTTGGGATTAGCCAGTTTTTTTCCCCCAGTACTGGAGATTAAACCCAGGGTTTTTGCACTGATCTACATCCTTTTTTTTGAAACATGGTCTTACTCACTTGCCCAGGTTAGGTGCAAACTTGGAATCCTCCTGCCTCAGCCTCTCAGAGTTCTAGGATTTCAGATGTGTGCCACTACACCTAGCTCAGTTTTTATGATTTTGCTAATATACAAAAGTAAAAAGAAAATTATGTTGTGACTTGCAATGTATAAAGCTCTTTGGACATTACAGTGGATTCGTTTATACTCATTAACAACTTAGAGAGGTAGGCTTCCACTTTGTCTGCAAACCACTAAATTTAGGGCTTTTCTAGGTTCAAGCTGCTTTGCCTTTAACCCCAAAACACTAGTCCTTCCATATCTACATTGAATTAGCACAAGTACCTCCAAGCCAGTTCTATTCATTGCCAAGACGACCATGTAAAATCTCCCCAAAGCCACACCTTACCTCTTCTGGCACAATAATTAATGGGTACTTGTCCTCAGATAAAAAGTTGAAAATAACCCATATTTTAAATGCATCTTCTTCTACAATGAGCAGGGGACTCTTTGTGAGGTTTTTTTTGACACAGAGGGTCCAACACATCCTATTGAATTCAATCTTGTCAAAGTTGTCTTGGACCTAAAAACAGAATGAGAAAAAACTCCAATGAATCAACTCAAAATCAGGAGTATGGAAGCCAAGTAAATTAGAAGCATAAAGCCTCCTTCTGGCTGCCACGTTAATCAATCCAATTAACCAACAGCCACCCCACATACTTGCTCTGGTACCACTAGCCTGAAACGGATACAGTATCCATCCGTACCTCTAACTCGGCAGACACTGACCTGTCAAACAGGCCTTTCTTCATTATCTTCCCAAACAGGCCACCAACCCTGGTACACAATGGGGCCGAGAATGACAGTTTCTCAGAACACCTACACCTTAACCTATATGGTCAAAGAAGATACTTTCTTTAGGGAAAAACTACTAGCTGAAATTCTAAAAAGACAGTTTTGCCACTTGTTCATTTACTCAGACATTCAGAATCTACTATTCTCTTGCTCAGTGTCAATCTTAAGGCAGGTACGACAAGAACAGGCTGAGCGGGGCTAGCATTTTTGATCTCTAAGTGTTCAAGGCTGATTATTCTCCGGCGAGGTCTCATTTTTGGGGAAACATGGAATAACATCATGTGATGAGTACTATTACAGAGATAAGCAGCAGATTCTGTGGGAACACAGAGGGGCTAATCCAATCTTAAGATATGTGTGAAGATTTACAGAAAGAACAGCACAAATGGCCGGGGATTTAGCTCAGTAGCACTGAGCCTGTCTCACAAGTGCAAGGTCCTGAGTTGGATCCCCGGAACAAAAAAAAAAAAAAAAAAAAAAAAAAAAAGAATGGCACCACAACAGATCTCAGTCCTGAAAGACTTCCAAGAGTCAGATACAGTATGTGAAAGTATTTCCTCTAAAATCAGGAACAAGACAAGGATGTCCACTCTCACTACTCCTGTTCCATATAGTGGTTAAAATTTTAGCTGGAGCAATTAGAAGAAATAAGAGAGATACAAACAGAAAGGGAAAATGCCTAATTATCCTCATTTCCACATGATATGAACCTTTACTTAGAATTCCCTAAAGAATCCACCAAGGGCCAGGGATTTAGCTCAGTGGCACTGTGCCTGTCCCAAAAGCGCAAGGTCCTGAGTTAGATCCCCAGTACCAAAATAAAAGAGGATTCCACCAAAAGATTTTTAGAACTGATAAATTCAGCAAAGCATCAGGTCACAAAATCAACATTAAATAATAACAGCTCTTCTTCTGCCAGGCATGGTGGCGCACACCTGTAATCCCAGCACTCGGGAGGCGGAGGCAGGAGGATCGCTGTCAGTTTGAGACCTGCCTGAGCTACATAGTGAGTTCCAGGTCAGTCTCAACTACATAGTGAGACCCTGTCTCAAAAAAACAAACAAACAAAAATAACAGCTCTTCTTTTTGGGGGGTGGTGCCAGGGATCAAATTCGCCCTTGCACTTGTGAGGCAAGCAGCAGTAACAGTTCTTCTATACACCAATAATGGACTAGCTGAGAAAGAAATCAAGAAATTAATTCCACTCAAAATGGCTTTTAAAAAGTACAATTTAACTTAACCAAGGAAGTAAAAAGCCTTACAATAAAAATTACAGAACAAAGGCTGGGGACTTAGCTCAGTGGTTCTGCTGCCTGCCTTGCAAGCGCAAGGACCCGAGTTCAATCCCCAAAACAATAAAAATTACAGAACACTAAAGAAACAAATTAAAAGAAAAAAAAAAAAACACTAGAAGATGGAAAAACCACCTATTAATTCTGGATTGCCAGAATCAATACTGTTAAAATGAACTAAAGATGACCTACAAATTCAACGCAATCCTCAAAGTTCCAATGACATTCTTCACAACACTAGAAAAAACAAACCTAAAATTCACATGGAAACACAAAAGACCCAGAAAGAAAAAGAATGCGAAAACAATTCTGAGAAAAGTAAGCAAAGCTAGAAATGTCACAATATCCAGTTTCAAATTATACTTCAAAGCCATAGAACAGAAAGAGTATGGTTCTGGCGTAAAAACAGATAAATGGATCAATGGAATAGAAGAGAGGACATAGAAACAAACCCATGAAATTATAGCTATCTGATTTTGGACAAAGGGCCCATATGTCTTTTGGAGAAAAGATGTATGGTCCTAGGCAAACTGGATATCCGTATGTAGGAGACTGAAACTAAATCCCTATCACTTACCTGTGCAAAAACTCAATTTTAAATGAATAAAAGACCTAAGTATACAACCTGAAACCTTGGAACTGCTAGGAGAAAACAGAAGAGACACTGGAAGGCACAGACAGGCAAAGACTTCCTAAACTGGACTCAACAGCACAGGAAATAACAGCAAAAATCAACAAATAGGACTAGATCAAACCGAAAAGTTTCTGCACAGCATGGAAACAACCAAGAGCAAAGAGATCACCTACAAAATGGGAGTAAATTTTTGTCAGCTACTCTTCCAATAAAGGATTCATATCTAGAATATGTAAAAGGCTAAAGAAAAACAAAGCAAACAAACAAACAAAAAAATAAGCAAGGTGTGGTGGTGCACGCCAGTGATCCCAGCACTAATCCCAGTACTTGGGAGGCTGAGGCAGAAGGATCCCTGTGAGTTCAAGGCCAGCCTGGGCTACATAGTGAGTTCCAGGTCAGTCTCCACATACAGAGATCCTATTTCAAAAAAAAAAAAAAAGAAAAGAAGAAGAGGAGGAGGAGAAGGGGGTAAAGGGGAAGAGGAAGAAGAAGAAGAGGAAGAGGAGAAAGATGAGGATGACAACAAGATGACCACAACAGATGGACGGTGATGGCAACGGTGACAAAAAAGTAGCCCAATGAATAAATGGGCAAATAAAGCTGGGTGTGGTGGCGCACACCTGTAATCCCAGCACTTGGGAAGCAGAGGCAGGAGGATGCTGTGAGTTCAAGGCCAGCCTGAGCTACAGTGAGTTCAGGGCCAACTTGAACTATAAAGTGAGACCCTGTCTCAAAAAAAACAAAAAATTAATTAATTAATTAATTAATTAATAGGCAAATGAATTAAACAGACACTTCTCAGAAGAAATACAAATGTCCAGCAAGTATACGAAAAATGTTCAACATCTTTAGCCATTAGAGCAACACAAAGCAAAACTACAAAAACAAATACAAAATAAAAATCATCAAAAATATAAAAGCAGTAAATGTGATGTGAGGATGTGAAGAAAAGGATTCCTTGTACGCTGCCAGTGGGAATGTAAACTAGTACAGCCACTGTGGACACTTCCTCAAAACAACTAAAAACGGAACTACCACGTGACTCAGCTACCCCAGTCCTTGCATGTACCTAAAGGAATTAAAGTCAGCATGCTGTAGGGGTATCTGTGTACCCATGTTCGTTGTGGCACAACTCACAATGGCTAACGTATGCAACCAATGGATGAATGGATTAAAAAACGTGGTCTATATACACTGTGGAGAATTACTGGGCCGTACAGAATGAAATTATGTCACCTGCAGGAAAATGGAACAAGCAATCACGTCACACAAAATAAACCAGACTCAGAAAGCCAAGTAGCTCATATTTTCCCTAATATGTGACATTTTTTTAAAGCATGAAAGTAGGAGGGTAGTGTTACTGGCCAAGAAGAAAGTAATGAGGGAGAGAGGTGTCTGTGGGCTAAGAGGCGATGGCTACGATCACAGTATGTAACATGCAGGTATGAAAAGGCTATATTGATGCACAATTACTTCGTGAAATTCATAGGCACTGACACAAAATGTTTTTTAAAAGTCAGAAAGATCAAGAATGTGGTGAAGCGTGTTCCAGACTATAGAAGAGGATGTGAGAAAGCCTAGGGGTGGAAACAGCCTCACCAGTGTTGGAGAACTGTAGGAAGTTTAACGCGTATGGGACACTTGGTACTGGAGGATGGCACAGTCACGGCTCTGAATGAGGGCAAGGAACAGAAACCACCTTGGGTTCCTCCAAACAGAACAGAAATTTATTGGAAAACCACACAGATCTAACACAAGCGCTGGAAAATCAAGACGCTGAAACCAGGCCAGTACCAAAGTACGGTGAGGAGCCAGAAGTGCAGCAAAAAGCACTCACAGGAGGAGTCTGGTGGGACTAAGAGGACAACACCTCTGTGCCACCCACTGCAGGGGTTCTCCGCCGAGCCTGGGCCACATTCCTGTGTTCCAGATGCCAAGGAGCAGGGAAAGCGAGGACCTGAACTGTTCAGCCTCTCCATGTGAGACAGATCCTGTTCCCCACCAAGACCCTGTGGAATTTCCCAAATACAAGGAGAGCAGGTCAAAAACGGCAAATGTCCACTGTGTGGGACATAAGGGAAAATGAGGCTAGAAAGGTAAACGAAGAGCATGAAGAATCTGTTCACTGATGTTAAAGGAATCCAGCCTTTCTCTGCACTGCCAGCCTGGAGGTAGGAGCAATCTTCATCTTCAGAGTCACATTCTGGGACAGTACGGAAGGTGTCCTAGAGGAGGCAAGAGTGGACTGCAGGACAATATGAGCAAAGCATTTCTTTTTCGAGAGCTACAAAGTGTTGTGTGCACTGCTGTAAGGAAGAAGTCACTAGTCGGCTGCAAAAGGATGTTCTTCTTGATCTCTACCTAGAATCTGTGGGTGGCAAACAGTCACCCAGGCCCAGGAAGATATCCTCCATGCTCTGCCTTCAGCACCTCGTCTCAGTGTAGCCCCATTTCCTACAACTGATACCATGAAAGAAAAGCCACAGCAGGGCTGGGGATTTAGTTCAGCAGTTCCACCGCCTGCCTTGCAAGCACAGGTCCCGAGTTCGATCTTTGGTACAAACAAAAAAAGAATAGTATCTGTGAAATTTTTCTATCCTACAAAAGCCACAGCAGCCACTTTATCCATTCATTCATTCAGCCTTAACACCATTTATTAAAGACTTACTGTACAGTAGGCATTTTATATACAGTGTCTCACTTAAACTTTGTACTAGTCATATAAGGTTAAGTCCTAGCTGTATTTTATAGAGTAAGAAGTTTGGGGGCCAGGGATGTAGCCCAGTGGTGCTGCTGCCTGCA